GCCAGAAGGGTTTTCTCAAGCATTCCTTCTTCCCTTTCAGTTCTTGGCTATTTCAGTAAGCCTTTGTCACAGAGGTGTGGGGTGAGTCTCTCCCATGGTCTTGCTTCATCCCCAGAAGTATACTGCTATTGCTTGTTATTGCAAGGCTCATAGTTGGAGCAGAGGAATTTTTTCTGTTTTCCTTATCCCACCTCAGTGTTAGGCATGCTCTGTGTGCTTGGGCCTCAGGAATAGCATGTTCTGAGAGTTCCTTTCCCTTCTCCTTGTGGCAGCCAAACTCTTGTGTGGTTGTTCTTGGGTGAGTTTCCTGCCCTTCTTCCAACAGTAGCAGATCTCTGCTTGGTATAGGTGTAGGATTCTGGACCTGAAGTGGTTTGTCTCTCCCAGTGGGACAGAGGATTTTTACTTCTATCCTTATCCTAATAGCACTGGATCCTTCCCTTGGTCCTGGGTGTACCCCTCTTACTTCTCTATAGGCAGACAGGTTTTGCCTTTACTTCTCTTCCAGAAGCAGTATATCTTTGCTTGTTGTCCTGGGGGTTGGGGAAGAATTTACTTCCCTCTTCCCAGCAGCTTAAGGCTTTTGCTTTGTCGTACAGATGGATCCAGGGAAATGGGTGGGGATTTGCACTTGTTTACCTGAAGGTCTTGATCTCTTCCTGTGTGTCTTCACCACTGATGGGGCCTTTCTGTGGTCTTCTGCTCTATACCCAGTCTTTTTTTGAGGAAAACACTGTTTCCAAGAGTCTATTAAATGCCACTTTAACACTTTCTCTATGAAATATTTCCAGTTGGGACACCTGGCTGGCTCATTTGGTAGAGCATGTGGCTCTTGATCTCAGGGTTTGAGTTTGAGCCCCACGTTGGGTGTAGAGATTGCTTAAATAAATAAATCTAAAAAATCTTAAAATATTTCCAATCCACCTCCTTATACTGGTCAGTTTGGTCCAGTCCCTCTTTTGTCCCATCACTTGACACAAATATACTTTTTTACTTATCATACAGTTTGCAACTGTCTAATTGTGTGTGAAATGAATGAGTGGATGACTAGTCACTGATTAAGTCTGTGAGACTAGTTTGGAGTGATTTTATGAAAAGCCTTCAATGCCAGCTTAAAAATTGGGATTTTATCATGTAGGGAATGGGGAGTCATTGAGGATAGTAATGTTGGAAACTTTAATCTGGCATATGCTGTATATGATAGATTAGAGATAAGATAGGACTGGAAGCTGGAGATCATTGAACTTTTTGTAAGGACCTATGTTGTGTTGATAAAGGCCTCAGGATGGTGGCAAAAGGAACGGAAGGAGGAGATTGATGTGATAAAACAAAGGAATTTTAAATTTTGGTGGCCAGATTTGGAAGGCCAGGGAAAAGGAAGAGGAGCCTTTCCTCAGCTGTGTCCCATCTCTCTCTCTCTTTTTTAAGATTTTATTTATTTATTTATTTATTTATTTTTAAAGATTTTATTTATTTATTTGACAGAGACACAGCGAGAGAGGGAACACAAGCAGGGGGAGTGGGAGAGGGAGATGCAGGCTTCCTGCTGAGCAGAGAGCCCGACGCAGGGCTCGATCCCAGGACTCTGGGATCATGACCTGAGCCGAAGGCAGACGCTTAATGACTGAGCCACCCAGGAGCCCCAGATTTTATTTATCTGACAGAGTGAGCACAAGTAGGGGGAGCAGCAGAGGCAGAGGGAGAAGCAGGCTCCCCGCCAAGCAGGGAGCCCGATGTAGGACTCGATCCCAGGACCCTGAGATCATGAGCTGAAGGCAGACGCTTAACGACTGAACTACCCAGGTGCCCGGAGAGGAATTCAGTTTTGAGAAATATTATTACATATTAGTTTCCTAAGGCAGTTGTAATACAGTACCACAAACTGGGTATTTTCTCCCAGTTCTGGGGGCTGGAAGTATAAAATCAAGAGGTCAACAGTGCCATTTCCTCTATGAAGGCTCTAGGGGAGCCTCCTTCCTTGTCTCTTTCCTAGCTGCTGTTGGCTGCAGGCAATCATCACTCTAATGTCAGCCTCCATTGTCACATGGTCTTCTTCCCTCTGTGTCTGTATCCAATTTCCCTCCTTTTTCTTTTTTTTTTTTTAAAGATTTTATTTATTTATTTGAGTGTGCAAGTGGGGTGGGGGGAAGAGCAGAGGGAGAGGGACAAGCAGACTCCGTGCTGAGTTTGGAGCTCCACGCAGGACCTAATCCCACGACCCTGAGATCATGACCTGAGCCAAAATCGAGAGTCAGATGCCCAGATGACTAAGCCACCCAGGCGCCCCTCCGATTTCCATCTTATAACATCTGTCACTGGATTAGAGCTCACCCTAATCCATTATGACCTCATTTTAACTTGATTACATTTGCAAAAACCTTCTTTCCAAATAAGGTCACAGTCACAGGTCTCAGAGTTTAGGACTTGAACATATTTTTTCTGGGGGACACAATTCAACCCATATTTCAAATTAATTCAGAGACTTATGTATTGAGTTATAATTGCCTTAAAGAACTCAATACAATAGAGAAGATAGCTATTTAAATAGATAATTCCATTACAAATGGCAGACGTGATAATACTGATATGCACAGTTTATTATGGAAGCACAGAGGAGGGACACTTAACCCAGCTTAACAGAAAATACAAAGGTAGGATCCTGGATAGAAATTAAAAAAATGAAAGGGCTCCTGGGTGGCTCAGTTGTTTAAGTGTCTGACTCCTGATTTTGGGTCAGGTCATGATCTCAGGGTCATGAGATCAAGACCTGTGTCGGGCTCTGTGATGGAGCCTGCTTAAGATTCTCTCCCTCTCCCTCTGCCCCTTCCCCTTCTCCAAAAAAATTTAAAAAATGAAAAGGAGCATCAGTTTCTTGGGATTGAAATTATTCAGTGTTCGGTTTATATAATTTTATTAATTTAAATGATCTCTAGTTTGGGTGAATCCAGGAGAAAACTTCCTGTCTGAAGTTAACAGACATATATGTAGGAATGCAGAGATCAGAGATGGCTACATAGAGGAGGGAATCCGTGTGGTTGCCATCTGGCTTCCATTTTATACCATAGTTTTGGAGACTTTGTTTTTCTGAAGTTCAGCCTTTAATGTTCAATTCTGGTGTATCTGAAATAGCTTTTTTTTTTTTTAAAGATTTTATTTATTTATTTATTTATTTATTTGGCAGAGAGAGAGACAGCGAGAGAAGGAACACAAGCAGGGGAGCGGGAGAGGGAGAAGCAGACCGACTGAGCAGGGAGCCCCATGCAGGGCTCCATCCCAGGACCCTGGGATCATGACCTGAGACGTAGGCAGATGCCTAACGACTGAGCCACCCAGGCACTCCTGAAATATCTTTATTCTTGTTCTTTAAAGATAATTTGCTGAATACAAAATTCTAGGTTGTTATTTATTTTCTCTTAATGCTTTAAAGATACACTTCTTGTTTTTGGTTTCTGTTTATGAGAAGTCTGCTGTCATTCTGATTTTCATCCTTTCTCTATGGCTGCTTATAAAATCTTTGTCTTTAGCGTTCTTTTTTTAAAATTTATTTTATTTTGGGGCGCCTGGGTGGCTCAGTCGTTAACTGTCTGCCTTCGGCTCAGGTCATGATCCCAGAGTCCTGGGATCGAGCCCCGCATTGGGCTCCCTGCTCAGCGGGAAGCCTGTTTCTCCCTCTCCCACTCCCCCTGCTTGTGTTCCCTCTCTCGCTGTCTCTCTCTCTCTATTGAAAAAAAAATCTTTAAAAAAAAATTTATTTTTTTAAAAGATTTTATTTGAAAGCGTGAGTGAGAGCGAGCGAGCACAAGCAGGGGGAGGGGCAAAGGGAGAGGGAGAAGCAGACTCCTCCACTGAGCAGGGAGCCTGATGCGGGGCTTGATCCCAAGACCCCGGGATTACGACCTGAGCTGAAGGCAGATGCTTAACTGACTGAGCCACCCAGGCGCCCGTGTCTTTAGTGTTCTGCACTCTTCCTAGAGATGTCGAGGTATAGATTTCTTTTTATTTAAGCTACTGGTATATATTGTGCTTCCTGGATCTCTGTTCATTTAAAAAAAATTTTTTTTATTATGTTAATCACCATACATTACTTTGTGTTCATTTTTCATCAGTCATGAAAATTCACAGCAATGATCTCTTGATTGCTTTTTCTTCTTTCCATTCTGCTTCTGGGCTCAAATTAGACATATATTAGACCTTATAACTTTTTATTTTTATTTTTTAGAGGGAGAGAGAAGGGGAGGGGCAAACGGAGAGGGAGAGAAAATATTTTTTTTAAAAAATTTTATTTATTTGACCGAGAGAGACATGGTGAAAGAGGGAACATAAGCAGGGGGAGTGGGAGAGGGAGAAGCAGACTTCCCGCAGAGCAGGGAGCCTGATGTGGGGATCGATCCCAGGACTCTGGGATCACGACCTGAGCCAAAGGCAGATGCTTAACGACTGAGCCACCCAGGCACCCCTCTTTTTTTTTTTTTTTTAAGATTTATTTATTTTAGGAGCAGGGGGCGGGGCAGAGGGAGAAAGAGAGGGGAAGCAGACTCCCCACTGAGCAGGGAGCCAGATGCAGGGCTGGATCTCAGGACCAGAGATCATGACCTGAGCTGAAACCAAGAGTCAGATGCTTAACCGACTGAACTACCCAGGCATCCCGATTTCAGTAATTCTGAAACACTCAAGAATGTATACTAGTTTGAGGGGCGCCTGGGTGGCTCAGTCGTTAAGCGTCTGCCTTTGGCTCAGGTCATGGTCCCAGATCGAGCCCTGCATCAGGCTCCCTGCTCAGTGGGAAGCCTGTTTCTCCCTCTCCCACTCCCCCTGCTTGTGTTCCCTCTCTCACTGTGTCTCTCTCTGTCAAATAAATAAAATTAAAAAAAAAAAAAAGTATACTAGTTTGAAATGGTCTTTTGGACAATATACATAGCAGTCAATGTATAACAATGATTTCTCTATAAATGTAAGATAGTTTTGTTTTCAAAACATCCTCACACATGTTATCTTGTTAAAGGTTAAAAGTGAAAATGAATTTTAACGATTGTAGTTTTGATTTGAAACCCTTGACAAGAACTCCTCATCCTGTTGAATCTCAGCAAGAAAAAGCAGTTATTTACAAGTAAGTCCATTATTGCATAGCTTTGCTTTTTTTCATTAAAGATGCTTGGCCGTGTTTCCAGCCCCTGCCATCCTTTTAAGTTGCTGGAATAGTGCTGAGGCATACACTGCACTCTGGTGGTGTGACATCAGGCATCTCCCGCCTCTATGTCTGGGTGAGGTGGCAACTTGCCTCAATTTTGTCTGGTTTTAAAGAACAAATTGCTAACAGATTCAGAAATAACAAGCACAGACAGAAAATAAACTGTTAACAACTCAAAGTTAAAGGTTAGGAGATTTTTAATTGGAATTGGAGCAGTAAAAATGGAATTTTGGACTAGTTTTGGTGGATAGTAGGTACACCCAGTGTGAAGAGATGTTACGAGGAGAGTGGTAGTATGTACGATGGTGTGTGTGACAGAGAGAATCATCTCAATTGCCTACTTACAGGATTAAAGTAAGAGATTTCTTTATATAGTTACATAACATGTTTATCTGATTAAAACTAATGAGATCCCTCAGATGTTGCTGCAGGGAATGTAAAATGGTGCAGCAACTTTGGAAAATAGTTTGGCAGTTTCTCAAAATGTGAAACTTTAAGTGACCATGTGACCCAGACATTCAACTCCTACCCAGGAGAAATGGAAACATATGTCCACATAAAGACTTAGACATGAGTGATCATGGCAGTATTGTTCACAATAGCCAAAAAGTGGAAACAACCCAAATATTCATCAGCTGGTGAATAGATAAAAAAAAAAAGTGCCATATCTATACATGGAGTATTATTTGGTGATTAAAAGGAAGAGAAGTACTGATAACACGTTATGAAACGGATGAACTTCAAAACTGTTCTACTCCGTGAAAGAGGACAGTCTCAAAAGACCACATATTGTATGATTCTATTTATAGGAAGTGTCCAGAAAGGCAGATCTATAGAGGCAGGAAGTAGATTGTTGTTGGCCTAGGCCTAGGGTTGGGAATGGGCAGTGATTGTAAATGAGCATGAGGTTTTTAGACTGACAGAAATGTTCTAAAATTAGATCATGGTGATGGTTAGACAACTCTATACTAAAAATCATTGATTTCTACACTTAAAATGGGCAAATTTTATGGTGTGTAAGTTACACCTCAGTAAAGCTGTTGATGATAATAAAAAATATAAAAAAAATAACCTAGCAAAGCAGAAGAAAAATGAGCTTGTACGATGTACAATTTTCTGTTCCTAAAAAGCCCCAAAGTAAGCCGCAGACCCTTTCCTTTTTCTGAATAGGCTCAGAATTTGATGAATAAATGCAGTGTGGCAGAAGCCAGAGGGCTTTTAGAGATACTTGATGCTGCCACGGGCAGCAGAAAGAATGATTAATGACTAATTGTAGAAACAGATGACTATTAGAGATGGAGCTGGACATTGTGGTCTTCTCAGTGTACTAGAGGTGTGGTTTAAAAATTGGCTGTTTTGTTTTTAATTTTATTTTATTATGTTGTGTTAATCACCATACATTATATCATTAGTTTTTTTTTTTTAAAGATTTTATTTATTTATTTATTTATTTGTGAGAGAGAATGAGAGAGAGAGCGCGCATGAGAGGGGGGAGGGTCAGAGGGAGAAGCAGACTCCCCGCTGAGCAGGGAGCCGGATGCGGGACTCGATCCCGGGACTCCAGGATCATGACCTGAGCCGAAGGCAGTCGCCTAACCAACTGAGCCACCCAGGCGCCCCACATCATTAGTTTTTGATGTAGTGATCCATGATTCATTGTTTGCGTATAACACCCAGTGCTCCATTCAATACGTGCCCTATTTAATACCCATCACCAGGCTAACCTATCCTCCCACTCCCCTCCCCTCTAGAACCCTCAGTTTGTTTCTCTGCTTTTTGAATGGGAGTTGAAATTGAGGGATAATAGAAATATTGAAACTAAGCCCTATTCACTTGTTAGCTAAAGGCCTTAAAAGATGGAATGAGTCAGAATCACTCTTGCATCCTAGGTTTCAAAAGGGTAAGTTTCTCTACAATCCCTAACTGCCACAGACTCATGGATCTGTTTGGGTCAGGTTTTAGGAAAATAAACATTTAAATCCTATTTAATTTCTATATATGATATAAAAGGAGGGGTTTGTCCTCAAATATCTCTTCTAGCAGAGTGGGACCCAGATGTGAAGGAGAAGATTGCATATTAGAGTACCAGAGGACCTATATTTTAGACTAGAGGCTTAAGTCTCTGAGCTCTGCCCCGCCCCAGAAAAGAGGTGGAAGATTAGATTCCTGTCTATGAATTAGGGAAACATCCCAGTTACGGCATCAGGGGTGGAGAAAGCATACTTGTCTTTGGCAGTTAGACTTTCCTTGGGAAGACATAATGGACAACTCTGTGAGGCAGTCATTTACTCTGAAAGAGCCTCACTCAGCTGTTTGATTAAGCTGCAAAGTGATTGCAAATGAAACTACTATTAAAGCCAGGTAATGCTATTTATTTGGGTTTCTTTTTTATAAAAATGTATAGATTCATATAAAACTCACCAACTTCAAAGTAAAAAAAAATTAAATGCTACAATTGAGTTTGTATTTAAGAGAATACTTTCCTTTCTGGTTCCTTCTTACAGAAACAAAGGATCATCCTTTCTGGAAAAAGAACCTCTATGTTTCCATGAGAGAAAGAGTCCAAGTCTCAAAGAGGCCAACTCTGAAGGTCACTTCATTGACCCTCAGCAGGAGATAGAAGGGGATGGGGACCAGGATGCGGTGAGAGCTGGGAGAGTCCTATTTTGCCATACACAAGGTAGCAATTGCTGATACCAAAATCTGAACAGCTGGGAGCTTCTCTGTATGACAGGCTTTCAGGAAGAGAGGAGGCAGTGGACTGCACCCCCTTCACCCCAAACAAGGCGAGGGAGAGAGTAGAAGAAACTGAGAAGCAGCTTCCTTTATTCAGAGGGAATGGAGAGAGTTGCCCTGGGAGTTATTACACATGCATATGCCCTCTGGTGGGTGGGTTATCAGATTTTCCTACCTCCTTCTTAGGAATGTTAACCCTTCTGTCTCTCATCCATCTCTATCATCTCTACCATTTACCACTTACCACACTCAAGCCAGGCCCCAAATTTTGTTCCCCTTAATTCAACCAAGACAGGCAGAAAATTTTCAAAAGCATCATATACTAAATTCAATGTAGTAAAATTTAAGAAGTAAAAGCCCCCAAATTTAATGTAAAATATATAGAAATATAGGTGTTCACAGAGCACAGATTTTTCATCCTAAGATAACTACAATTAAACTTGGTGGCCACGTGACTGGTCTCGCTTAGTCTAGTGCTTCCAGGTCTACGTGCCACTTTTCCCCTTCAGATCTCTTCTCTACACCCTTGTGTGTCCCAAGGCCCTGGGGTAGAGCCTCTCTTAGGAGTGGATTAGAAATCATTTTCTGGTTAGAAATCAATATGGGAATGGTACGTTAGTCCAAATATACAGTCTTTCCATCTTTCTTCTGTCTCTCCATTTCCCTACTCCTACCTCCAAAGGATAAGGGAGCTACTTTTTTTGTTCACTCATGGAAGTTTTATTAAAACTTTATTTTGGGGCGCCTGGGTGGCTCAGTTGGTTAAGCAACTGCCTTCGGCTCAGGTCATGATCCTGGAGTCCCAGGATCGAGTCCCATGTCAGGCTCCCTGCTGAGCAGGGAGTCTGCTTCTCCCTCTGACCCTCTTCCCTCTCGTGCTCTCTCTCTCATTCTCTCTCTCTCAAGTAAATAAATAAAATCTAAAAAAAACCCACAAAACTTTATTTTGTAGTTTAACTCCTTTTACTGTAATGTTTTAGTATCCTCCCATGTGCTTGCTTGCTTTCTTCCTCAAAAAATTGTTTTAAGATTTTGGGGTCCTGGGTGGCTCAGTTGGTTAAACATCTGCCTTTGGCTTAGGTCATGATCTCAGGGTCCTGGGATTGAGCCCTGTATCAGGCTCCCTGCTCAGTGGGGAGCCTGCTTCTCCCTCTCCCTCTGCCCCTCCCCACCACTCATGCATGTTCTCTCAAAATCTTTAAAAAAATTTGTTTTAAAGATTTTTTATTTATTTGAGAGAGTGCGAGAGAGAGCATGAGCTGGGGTGGGGAGAGGGAAAAGCAGACTCCCCACTGAGCAGGGACCCCCCCCCACACACACATGGGGCTTGATCCCAGGACCTTGGCGCCCTTCTTCCTCAAAATTTTAACAAGCACTTACTCTGAGCCAAGCAGTATTTGAGGGGCATAGTGGTAAACAAAAGAGGTAAATCTCTGATCTTGAGGAGCTTACATTTTGATGGCGGGGGACAGACAATAAATATGTAATATGTGAGCTAGTAATAAGTGCAGTGAGAAAATAAAACAGGTAAAGTGGGGCAGGGAACTACATCAATAGAACAGGTTTAAATCGATAGCAAGGAAAAAACAAAAACTAAGTCGCTTTATACTGATACCTTACAAATATATGTTATAATGGTTGTGAATATCTTGAATTTAACCAGCCCCCAAAAGGATTATTCTTTACTTTTGTATTTATGTCCCTCTTACTACCAGAAACCTGCTTTGCCTCCAGATTTCCCCTCATTCAGGGGAATAGGATTATAATCCAACCAGGACCCCTCAGGACAAAAGTCTGAGTCGTCTTTGATTTCTTGCTTTTCCTCACTTCCCATGTCTAACAGGTGCCAGCTCTGTTGGCTTATTAACTTTTCGGTTTCTCACTACTCTCACCATTTCAGGCCATTGTGATCCTAACTGGTCTTCCTGCTTCTGTGGTTGCCCCTGTGTAATCTGTTCTCCATGCAGAAGCTATATTTAAAAAATGTTAGATCCGATTTCTCCCCTACTCAAAACCTGTGAATGGCTTCCCTTCACACTTTGGAATTTATTCTAATTCCTTACCATGGTCTAAGTCCCTGGACCATTAGGCGCCTGTCTCCCCTCCAGCCTCATCTCCTGCCTTCTCTCCACATTTGCTATGCTTCAGCCTCACCACCCTTTTTTTTGTTTTCTGAACATACCAACTTTACTCCTCTCTCAGGCTTTTGCTTCTGTCGTTCCTTCTCCCAGGAACACTCTTTCTCCAGATTTCTCCGTGTCTCACTCCCTTAGTTCACCCAGACGTCTGCACAAATATCTTCTCAGAGAAGCCTTCTCTGACTTTTCTAGTTAAAATAGTCCCCCTCATCCATTCCCCTATCCTTCCTACCCCCTTTACCTGTAAAGAGGTGGGATTCAGAACTCAGATGGAAGGCACAGTACATGGATGTAGCTTGGTGAATTTTGTGCAGGAACATTGTTTATTTCTGTTCACTTCATTACTCAAATGAGAAGGTCATCTGTCAGCTGACAGTGAAGGTGGAGGACCAAGATTCAGAGGTTTGAAAAAAGGGAAGAATGGAAGGTAGTATTTTCTAAATCACAATAATCCTAGTGTAAATTAGTACTCCAGACATCCTGACAGCCTGAAAGCAGGACCATATGGGGTCCCTCAACTCCTATCACACATCAGTGATTTACCCCCCCACCCCCCACCCCGTAATAGGGTTGGTTTATTCCCGAATCTCTGTATGTTTTGAATCCAGAGAGAGTGACAAGAGGCTGAGGTCGCTCAGCTCTGGCAGGACAAGGCTTCGGGGGGTCGGGGGGGTGATCAGCTCAGCTGGGCTGAGGAACTCTTTCTGCTCTCGTAGGCTCCCCATTCCTATATCACACACCATTCTTCTTTTCTGTTACCTTCAAAAGGTTTTAGCAACCAAGGAGCACACACCCCGATCCTTGATTGGTGAGGGACACAAAAGAAGGCTGTTCCCGAGGAAGTCATCTGCCAGCAGGATTCATTCAGGGTGAGGACCAAGGAAGGAGCTCAAGCACCTGCAATAACCACTTTTTGAGTTCAGTGTCTGTATGATAATTAAGTAATCACAATACCATGTATTGATGGTTATTGCCAATGTATTTTCTGCAGAAGTTAAATATTGCCTGAAAGATCCAATAAAAATAATGATAGCTACCTTACTGAGTGCCTATCTCAATTCACTTGATCTTTCCTGAATCAAGGTAGGTGTGTCCTCTTTGGTCAGGTACCCTTAACATCCACTGCCTCATATTCTCCCCTCCCCTCCTGATTTTATTTGTTTATTAGAGAGCATGAGCAGTGGGGAGAGTGAGAAGCAGGCTCCCACTGAGCAGGGAGCCCCAGGTGGGACTTGATCCCAGGACCCTGGGATCATGACCTGAGCTGAAGGCTGACCCTTAACTGACTGAGCTATTCAGGCACCCCTTCACAGGTTTTTCTAACAGTCTTCAGAAAATTTAAGAATTCATTTTAAGTATGATTACCTACTTGCTGATTTTGATTCTGCGTGTCACTCTCTGGCTCATGTTGAGTCTGACCCCTAGTCAGGGGAAGACACAGTAAGACCTAGAAGGAGAGCAGGATTTTGTTTTCCTTAGACAAAGGGGACGCTAAAAATCACCCCTCTCCTAATCGTAGCCCTAGATCAACAGGTAAACCGTATATTCTCTGTAGTATTAATTTACAAGATGTCAGCTTATTTGAAACAAAACATAGGGTGGTGTTGGATTAGGCAGTTGAAGACCCCTCGTGCGCGGGCCTCCTCCCTGACCTCCCCCACCCTTGATGACCCTTGCTGGGACTGGGGCTTCCAGGGAAGCGGGGCTCGGGTTTCAGCCCAGTGCTTCAGTTTGGTTTTAAAAGGATGCTCCCTTTTCCCTCCCTGCAGTCCTCGGTCACCAGTCACCCGCTGGTGGTGGGTTGGCGGGTTAGCCGGCTGGGTCAGGGGTGCCAGGCGCTCCACCAGGGCGGGAAGTCTGCGGGGGGTGGCAGTCAGGGACCCTGGCCGACCTCGCAGCCACACGTGGGGGAGGCATAATCACCCCTTTGGAAACTGAAGCTCCAGGGCGCCAAGGATTTCTGTTTTGTTTGTTTTACTCAACGACGACGTGGCAGAGCCGGGATTCAAACTGCTTTCTGCCTTATGAAGTCTCTTGGATTTACTCTCTCCCCTCAGGGATCCTGTTATCTATGGCTTCCAAGAAAGCGTTCACCTATGGCGAACATTTCAGGCCAGAAAGTTTTTTTTTTTTTTTT